CTGGGATCCCCCTGCCTCTGCCTTCCCTGCACTGGGATTGCAGGTGCATGCTGTTGTTTAGCTTTTCTAAAGTGGGTTCTGCCGTGGATCCAAACTCAAGTACTTTTGCTTGCTTGTCTGAGCCACATCCCTTGCCTCCCATAATGTTTAAACATAACACCAACTCACTCACAAATTCTTCAGTTCACATTGGTGATCTGCCTGTGAGGTGCGCTAGTGCAGAAGAGGCACAAAGCTTGTGGGGCTAACCAACCAAGCAGAATCTGATTGGATTTAAGCCCCCCTCCGTGAAATGGAACCATTTCTCAACATTGCTCAGGTAGCCACAACCTGAGACTATATGGGCCCTGGACCTAGGGGGAAACTAAATACTACAGTTCTTGTAGCAACAAAATAATTTCAAATGACATTCTTCTACACTCATAGATGAGGGTTTTGCTCAGCCATCATCAGAGAAGCTTCCTCCTGCAGTGAATAAGAATAAATACAGAGACCCACAGCTGGACAATTCGCAGAAAGACCTTCGAACACTCAGCCCTAAATGGGTTGCCTCCATCAAATCCCTCCCCTCAGGACTCAGGGGATTCTGTGAAAGAAGATGCACAAAGATTCTAAGTGTAAAAAGGAATGGAGTTCCCCAAGAAAACAAGGCCTTCTAAGGACATCTGAACCTGTGCAAGTATTAACTCACAGAGACTACGGCAGCATGCACAGGGCCTACATGGGTTAGTGCCAGATAAAGTCACAGCACTGAGACAAGTAGACCCAACCCCATCCCTAAACCAGAAACTATCTCACTGACGTTACAAACCACTCTTGAGGTCAGGCCCCAGGCCCAGCAGTAGAAGGCAAAAAAAGGCAAACAAACAAACAAAAAAACAGAAAAACAAAACAAAACAACAACAACAACAACTACAACAAAAAAACTCAATTGCTTCTTTGGAGGTTCTTTGTCTTATAATATTTTGTCAGAACACTTTGTGTGTATGTTATGGCTTCTGTTTGGAGTTTTTATGAGATTCCCGTGTCTATGAACAAGTGCGAATTGTCTGTATGTGTTTCTTGTGCTTTTTCTTTGGCTTTTACCTTGTTTGTTTATTTTATCCTATTTGGTTTGTTTTTGTCTTATCCTTCTAATTTTATTATTATTCTTTATATGCCTGTTTGTTTTCTAAGGAGAGACAGAAAGGGTATGGATTTGGGCGGGAGGGTAGGTACTGATGATCGCAGAGGAGTTGGGGGATGGAAAACGGTATATATATTGTATATATATATATATATATTGTATATATATTGTATGAAAAAGTGTATTTTCAACAAAAGAAAAATCAATAAAAAACAAAAATTATAATGAGCAGTTTATAGCTCAACTATAATTGTTGAAAATTTATAATAAAATGAATAAAATCCTATGGATATACAAACCAACAAGTTTTACTCAAGAAATACTTTAAAATACACCAATACTAATAATGAGATTAAAGTAGTTTTTTTTTAAAATTCTTTAATCAAAGAAAAGTCCAGAAATGGCAGCCACACTGTTGAATTCTACAAAAAAAATGAAAAATAATTAATACATTTCATTTTAATCTATGGAAACAAAACTAAACTAAACTAAAGAACATGTAAAGGAGGTGAATCTTTCAAACCCAAAGTAAGGTCAATCAGCAAAACTCACATACCTAAGTCAGAAAAGCAATAAATAGAAAAGGAAAAGTGCAAATCAGTGTGTGTGTGTGTGTGTGTGTGTGTGTGTGTGTGTGTATGTGCACGTGTGTGCATGTGTATTGCAAAATCTTCCATGAAAACACTAGTATATCATTTCCAGAAGAATATTAAAAGAACCTGCTGACATAATCTAGTAGAATTCATCTTATAGATGTGAGTGCAGTTTAATATACTTAAATCAATAAACAAAAGAGGTCAAATTAACAAAGGGAAGGAAAGGGAGTTCTTGATAGAATGACTTTCAGCAACTCGATATCTCTATGACAAAGACTCAATGAATCAGAAAAAAAAATCAACATCATAAAGAGAGTGTAGAGAACCCAACAGTGGATTTCATACTAAATGGGAGGAAAGATAAAAGATTTTCATTTAAGATAGGGACAAATCCAGGGTACTTATTTTATCACAACCATTTAACATATAACCAGAATTCTTAGTCAGAATCATGGCAAAAAAAAATTTAAACTAGGGCTGGAGAGATGGCTCAGCAGTTAAGAGCACTGCCTGCTCTTCCAAAGGTCCTGAGTTCAATTCCCAGCAACCACATGGTGGCTAACAACCATCTGTAATGAGATCTGGTACCCTCTTCTGGCCTGCAGGCATACATGCAGACAGAATATTGAGAATACTGTACACATAATAATAAATAAATTAATTTAAAAAAGAAATTTAAACTATTTAAATTGGAAAATAAAAAATCAAATTTGTCACAGTTCAGATTCATGAAGATTAATGCAATGTTTCTTGACATTCTAATTATTTTCAGGATAGATAGTATTCTTTTCTGTGTACATATACCATATCATCTCTAGAAATTCATCTGTTGATGAGTAATGTGTTTTCATATTTGTCTAACTGTGCATAGTGCTGAATAACTGATAAATTGAAGATGTCGATCAACATTAACTTAGAAGTAGTGATACACAGAGAAAATCCTAAAAACTACCTAAAAATCTGTAAGAACTTAGGAACATATACTGTAAAGTTGAAAGATACAAAAACCATATATGCAAAGGGCTTTCCATGTGTCATTGACAAACCTTGTGAACTAAACCGTAAGCTCATTTTCATTTGCAACAACTACAGAGCCAGGAAGATGCTTTCTGTGTTCAGTCCGAGCACTTGTTCAGAGCTGAAGTCTGAGCAGTGCTGTAAGTTCAAGGCCAGACTGAGTTACATACTGAGTTCCAGGGAGCCTAGGCTAAAGAGTGAGACCTTGTCTGGAAAAAAGCCACAAAAATGCTTCGAAAAAGCTTTACCAACGAAATGAAAGATTTCTTTTTTTTTTTTTTGAAAGTAAATTTTATTAAATTATAAAAGTTTCCATTTCCGCCCCTCTTCCCAACACCCTCCCACTCCCCCCACTCCCTCTCCTCCTCCCTCTTTGTCCCTTAGGGCAGTAAGGGTTTCCTGCCCTGTGGGAAGTTCAAGTTCCTCCCCCCTCCCTCCAGGTCCAGGAAGGTGAGTATCCAAACAGACTGGATCCCCAAAATCCAGTATATGCAGAGGAAACAGGTCCCAGTATCATAGTCAATGGCTTTCTTTAATGAAAATAATAAAACATCAAGGGAATAAAATTGAAGATGATATAAACAAATAGAAAATATCCCCTGAGCATGGATTGTTAGAGTTAATATCACTAAAACGTCTATACTGCCTGGAAGATATTAAAGGAGAGAACACATGCAAATAAAGAAAAATAATATGTTAGAGTTTTAAAAGTTATTCTCATAATATGAAGAATGAAAATACACTTACCAATGACTGGTAAGACAGGAGGTTTCAACGGACCAGGACAGGGGCGTCAATGTGTACAGAGCTTCAGTTAGGTAGACTAAGTCTTGATGCTCTCTTACATAGAACCATGACTCCAGTTAACAACAATGAACCATACCCAAAATAGATAAGAGAAATTTTAAAATTTCTTTCTCCTAAAGAAATAAAAAAAACATTTAAGATGATAGATATGGAAATTAACCCGATGTGGTGTACAACCATCATAACAGCACAGTGTGTCCCTTAAACATGTCCAGTTACATGCATTAAAAGCAAAGCAAAAAAATCAAAAAAGGGAAAAAACCAAAATATACTTTCCAATGAAATAGGAAAATATTAGTAAAAGCCATAAAAAACCTCCTAAGAAAGGCCACAACTAACCAAATCAGGTAGTTACAGCGAGAAAGGTTTAATAGATTTTGGTATTTACTCCTAGTTTGGGGGACCTTATGTGTGAGAATCATTGCTAACATTGTATGACCTCACCTACATAAAATTGTCTAGCATGTGAAGATACTCACAGTCTGTAAGTCAAACTACAAACTATTTGTGATTCTTCACCATTTTGTTTTTGCCTTTTGTGGTTTTTCAAGTCAGTATATATAATTGTGTGTGTGTGTGTGTGTGTGTGTGTGTGTGCGTAGTTGAAAAAATAAATTCTACTCCAAACATTCCATTCCTCCTTCATTCATGGTTTAGTAGGAAAGGTATGTAGAGTAATAAACTGAAGTTGTGTGTGTGTGGTCTCAGGCACTTGTTAGCATAAGTTGGGGTGACTATTCTCATTACCCACTGTAAAACTCAGGGCTCAGGGCAACTGCTTTGCTTCCTCACACCTGTTGAAATTGATTGCAACATTTGTGTGCAAATACCAGATTAATCTTCCTTTTAATATAATATGTATGGAACTTGGGCCCACGGATCCTCTTCTGTTGTGACTGCATCCGGTCTTTCCTCACTAGTTACAGAGAGAGAGAAACTGTGACAGGTCACAAAATGGTGACCATTTGGCCAAACAGTTCTCTCTCTGTCTACTATCAGGAATTAAAGACAAGTCAGCCCTGATTTGCAAAATGCAACTCTTAGTCATATGAACACTCTTTCGCCTGTGTATGACTTCCTTTAATTAAATGAAAATACCATTTGTGTGGTCGCAACGCAAAGTTTTTTGAATTTCAACATTGATTTTTTTGCTTTTTTAAAAGCAAGATCTATAAGTAGTATTGTGTGTGTGTGTTGTTTCTATGACATCATTCTCTCCAAAAATTTATAAAATTCAACAGGAAAGAAGACTAGTGAATTTAATTGGTTAGAAGGTCACAAAATCTTTGTTATAAATGAAATATGAAAATTCCAGGTAAAATGTAAATAAAAGTTAAGTACTAAAGCACTACATTAACAAATGACCATAAGAAGGAAAGACCAAATTATATATTTAATAAAAACATAGACATAAAATTTTATCTAACACAAGTTCATAATTTTATTCCTTTTCATATCAATAAGTTTTTAAGTTGTTAATTACATATTTTATAACTAAAATATTACATTATATCATCATGTGCATAAGAATGTGATATAAATCAAAGTCAAAATTCTTTTATGTTTAACAATAACAACAAAATAATATTTGACTACAGCGTTTAATGGTATACATTGTAATATACTTTCAGAATTTTCTATTATGTTTAACTTTAATGATTGTAACTCTTTTAAGCAGTTAAAAATTGGCCAATAAATATGTGTAGGCATTTGAACTTAATACAAAGATACTATAACATTTTCCTGTACATCTGCTCACTATAATGCATGTTTTCATATTAATGTGCAGGACAAATTTGTAAACATGAACATTTGAAACCTTGAGAGGAAGTGATACTCGCCTGTTTACTCTCAATATTTTATTGAAACAACATGTCAAATTTGGCCAGTTCCACATGTGTAAATAGTTTTAATATGGGATATGTTTCAAATGTTCTATGTTATCTATTCATTCTGTTTTATGTTGTCATCCAAACCATGTTTCTTTATATAGATTTAACACAAAATAACATTTAATTGCAGATCAAATCTAAGGAGATTAAATGTATATCAAGGTAGTTATATCAAAGCAACTGCCACCAGTGCCCAAACTATGTATTCAATTGCTTTGTTTTTAACTGTTCCAATAGGCATGTTAAGTTCCAGTGAAATCCACTAGTAAACTGTTGCTGTATTCTAGGAGTTACTGATTGTTATTTTGACTGGCTGAATATTTTTCACCACAAAGTCAACATATCTTTAAATTAAAATAAGAAATTGTACTTATGCCCTGTCAATTCAATTATCAAAGTGTAGCATATGCAATTAAACATTTCTAAATATATTTAAATATATCTCCACTTAAGTATGCATAATTAATAGCATATGTAAGTATCTAATGAGTAGATTTTCCATACAGCATCTCTTTAAGACTGAGAGTAAAAACACAGGGTAAATCATTTTAAGGAAAGCTAAATATCTCATTGGAGATTATACCCATACACACACAGGTTAAGTGCATAAATACACATACTAGAGTAACATCTTTAATTTATAAAACCATATACATACAATGAAAGCTTGTTAGTGAGATTAAATAAGGAGATAAAAATGTAAAAAACTGTCCTACTTTATACATCTCTATATATTTACAGTTCTATTACTCGAAACATACCAAATTAGTGATTAGCATGCATATAAACTTTTGCAAAATATATTTAGTACTTAAACAACACATTTATTCCAGCTACATTCTGGCTACCTGCTTTGCGTGCCTTCATTTTCCCTAAGGTGCAAGAATAGAAATGTTAGGAGAACTTAAAGAAAAGCTCCCACAATGTCCAGTGCAGATGCTTGTCTTCATGCATTGTTGGCACCCTTGTCATGCTGTCAGCACATGAGATGCTGATGGGTCAAAGACTGATTCTTCCTTGAGTCATCACTTGCCGAGACTAATAGTTCGTTTCTTTGCCTGCCACAAACATACTTCACCCTCACAGGAGAATGAAATCATGTTCATTCCCAGACCATATGGAGAACTCATGCCTGAAAGCAGTGCGAAACATCTCTCGACACAGCTTGGGAGTTTTGAAGAAGCCTCTTCATTCTCAAAGCACACTAAACAGAAGCAATGACATTAGTTAACTTGAAGATTCTAAAACAGTGTAACTTAAAAATGTTATAAAGTAAAAGTTATAAAAGTATAATATCCATAGAGTTTAGGCACCGGACAGTGAAAAGAAATAGTAAAGATATTGATATTATAAAATCATGTTACCTAAAGTTTATATTAATACTTAAAATGTAATAATCAATGTAATATAGCAAACTGTCCACTTAGAACTTCAACCAAGTTCCACTTTTGTCATTGATTTCAGCTTGACTATTCCACAAAATATTTTCCTGACCAGGGAATGTGACTACAGGTCTAAGCTTGACAGAGAGCTATACAAGGATAAAATAGCGTTCCCTTATTTCCTGACTCAAGGTGCAAATTTTACAAAATTGATGCAAGGTTTATTTTCTCTAGATTTAGTTGGGCAAGTCACATATCAGGTCAAGTTAAAATCACATATCAAAATATAGTCTGTTGTTTTCTTTTAAAAGAGGAGAGGGGTGCATATGTGTGTATGTGTGTATGTATATATATATGTGTGTGTGTGTGTGTGTGTGTGTGTGTGTGTGTGTGTGTGTGTGT